CTGAAAAATTAGTACTAGTAAGGACACGGATCATATTAAGAACACTCTAATTTGCTTTAATCCTTCTCTCATACGTTGGATCTACATCACCTTTTGGGGGAGTTCTTCATTATAGCATATTAAATTCCTGTAAATTCTTGCATTTAAAAAACACACCTTAGTTCATTATGCCATGATGAGAACAAAGCAGAGTGCTCGTTGCTGTGAGAACCATAAAATATATCTGTGATATTAACAGTGAAAAATGACAAGAGTTAGTTGATTGTGTTCTCCCTAATTCTTAGTTCCAGGGTCATTTACAAATCATGATAACAAATGGGAGATTTGAGAATAGGTGTCCAACCAAGAATTTCACATAATATTACCTTTTCAAATAGACAGTTTATCCTTACCTGTGATGTTAAAAATTAACTTAATTTTGTGGTCAGATAATGGGGCACTTCTTTTAGTCTTTGAAGATCTGGTTTTGCCGATGCTTTTGGGTGTTTCTTGTACAGAGTCCAAAAAGTCATCGTAAGAGTAATCCAGCCGATTAGCTGCACCCCAACCACCTGGTCCTGTACAGTCGGGACAGAGAAACAGATGATCATACATTTGCATCTNCCCCAACCACCTGGTCCTGTACAGTCGGGACAGAGAAACAGATGATCATACATTTGCATCTTCATCAGCATTTAGGTTCTAATGTTAAGCCACAAGTAAGATTGCCCTTGACCATTTTTTAAATTGCCCATAATGTACCACATAACAGTGTTCGGTCTACAATTTTATGTTGTAACTTTTGGGCACTTTATATTTAATTTAGATTATCAATGAATTATAATAAAAGAAGAAATTCTTTATGTAGCTACCTAGGCATTTGTATCATTTTGTCTCTGAGTTAGTAGTTAATTATGTTAGCTTTAAAGGTAAATGGGGGTTGGTGTGGAATTTTAGTCAATTTCTATTACCTTTCAGGGCTTGCTCCTTTAAAAAAAGTTGGCTTTGTAAACTTAATGTACATAATCAGATTTCCTTTTGGGAAGATTACTCAAGATATCTGCATCATCTTTTAAAGGTGGGGGTGGTTTTCAAAGGCAGCATGTAAGTTAAATGATTATATAATGTAACTACACTGGAGGCAACATGGATATGTGGATTCTCTCAATGCCCTTCATACCATTATGATTAACTACATGGTTCACATTGTGTGCTGACTGGTTTTATAATCCTAGTCAAGTTACTTTCATCTGTCTGAATCTCAGCTTCCTCATTTTTAAATAGGGATGAGTCTTACCTCACAGGTTTGTTTGTGGAATAAATGAAACAATATACAAGTACATAAGCCATCTGGCTCACTATTTGATTGTAAAACCTCAGTAAACAATATTAATATTGTTCTGGCCATGCCGTTTCTTAGTTATGTGTTTTAAACAATAAATTATATTTATACAGGCCTGTCCACTTAAGTAAATTGTTTTCTGAGTTTT